GCACTTGTGAGACAGGCATGGCAGCACTGAGCTAAATCTCCAACCCAAGAATTTTTGACATGTAAATTTTTGAGGAATACAACCATTCAGTTCTGACCATTGTAGAACCGGAAATTTTTGTGAAAATTTTGTTTCTCATATTAGATGTCCACCACAAAACAATATTCATGCATTCTGTCAAGCAGTTACAGAGTAGGGACAGCTGGCCATTACTCAGCTTGGTGTATCAAAAAGATATTTTTGAAAATATGCAATCTTTGAAGATTTTTATTCTTTAGACAAATGTGGCTTTGAAAACTCTGTATATCTTAAAAGCAGTTTCACAATGTCAGTAGTTTCCTGTGATTGATAGTCACAGCACACTGAGCTCACAGAGACATTAAAAATGTGGCATGGGAAAAGAAAAAAAAAGGACTTTACAATATTGGATTCTGTAGCAGTAAGTAATCTGCTCTTGGCTTTCCTTCCCGTTACTAAGGATTTTTTCTCTTTTTTCCTGAAAGGTCTGTGTTTTATTGAATTCTAGACTTGGACATACTAATAAAAATATATTTTTTTTCTGTGCTGGGCAGAATCTTATTTCTCAACATAGACAGAATTATTGATTACATGTTATAATTTTGTTTTTTGTTGGAGTTTTCAAACACCAAATTTAAAAAAATCACAAAAATTGCCCATAAGTAAGAATACTCAGGTAGAACATTGACGTTTGGCAGGTATTTTATGGGGGCAACAGGGATGATTGTGTGCTATAGTCTCAGAAAAGGGGGGAGTGGATCCATTATAGAGTGAGGTGACTAGGAGGAAGGACTGTGTGATATGGAGAAGCAATAGATGGTATGTGAATCACTTTGGGATATAAAAGAGATTATTCTTTATAAATTTTTTTCCCATTAAGTTTATTGGTACATTTTAGGTATAAAATACAGTTACATCCATCATTGGGATCTTGTACCATTACATGAGTATCTTGGTTCTTTGTTTTTCCTCTTCCCCTGCCCTCCCTTCACCCCCTCCACTCTTCCCTATTTGCAAAGATTTTGTTTCCATTTTTTTCCTTTTCTCATGTTTTTTCTTTTCCCTTCTTTCCTTTCCCCTACCCCTCCCACTTCCCCTGCTCCTTTAGACCTTTACATCCTATTACACAATGTCGATTATACGTTTTTAAAATTATAATATCAAGATCTAGGAGACATTACCACAGATTTTACAGAATTTAAAAGGATATAGAAAGCATATTTCAAAAATCTGATTTGAAATAAATTTGACAACTTCTAAGAAGTACCTTGGAAAACAAATTAATGAAACTGACTCTGGAGGAAATATAAAATTTGAATAGCACCTATTAAAAAAGTATATTCCTACCTTGAAAACCTACCTATATGACAACAACAGGCTCGTATACATTTTAACTGATAAATTATATGAAACATTTAAAGCAGAAAAAAAGGGAACACTTCTCCCCTCATTTTAGGAAATCAACATTGTGCTAATCCCAAAACTGGATAATGATAATAGAAGAAAAAAGTATGAACATAGATAGAAATTTGTTTAACAAAACAAAGTATTAGAAGTCAGATCTGGCAGTATGTAGAAAGTGGTTTTACTATAGGAATGGCAGTGTTGGTTCAGCATTGGAAGATCCACCCCCAAAAGTCATCATTTTAACAGAGGAAAGGAAAAAGCCATATGATCATGTCATTGGTTGCAGAAAAAGTATTGAACTAAATTCTACAGCTGTTCATGGTAAAAGCTATCAGGAGACTAGAAGTAGAACAGAATCCTCTCAACAGATAAAAGACATGTACTCCATACTTCCAGCGAGAACGCCTTATATGAATGGAGAAGATACAATGCTTTCTCCCTAAGTTGGGGAACAAGGGTAGATATGCCTACTCTTCATCTGTCCATTAAATAAAAGAGATTTTTTTTATTGAATGTGAAGAGAAGTTATTATTTTCTCTAAGTTCAATATCCTGTGAATGCTGTGCTAGGATGCCTATTGTTATGGTTTGTGTCTAGAATGTCTCCCAAGAACCTCATGTGCTCAGAGTGGGGCTTTTGGAAGGTGACTGGGTCATGGGGGTACTATACTCACCAGTGGATAAATCCACTGAGAATTGAGAGCTAAATGTGCTGTTGGGAGGTAGGGTCTGGTTGGAAGAGGTGAGTCACTGGAGATGTGGCCTACAAGAGCATATCTCTCTCCCTGGCTCCTCTCTTTCCTCTCTCTGCTTCATGGTTGCCATAATGTGAGCAGATTTCTTCTTCAGGACTTTCCACCATGCCATTTCTGTATTTGAGTCTGCCAAACACGGATTGAAACTGTGAGCCAAAATAAACCTCTTCTCCTTTAAGTTGTGGGTGTCAGATATGGTGTCCCAGCAACAATGAAGTGGTTAAGACACTGCTCTGACAAATAGATTAAGGGAGGTAATGGCTCATCACAGTTTATTTCTTGCTCAGTAATGGTGTAGGATAAATATTCATGCTGTTAGAGTGACTCTCTTTGGGTGACCTTGGTTAACCAGTTCATTAGAAACACAGGTTCCTTCCATCTGTGACTCTGCCATTTTCTGGAGCAGGGGTTAATTTTCTTTTCTTCTTCTTTTTTTTTTTTTTTTTTGATAGTAAACAGTTTAAGCTTTGCAAGACATCTTGGCTGTAACATATACTCAGTGTTACCATTACACCATGAAAATAGCATAGCCAATAAGTAAATTAATAGAGTGGCTGTGTTTCAATGAAACATTATTTCCAAAAAGAGGTGCCGGGCTGGATTTGGTTCTTGAGGTATACTTTGCAGACTTTTGCCTCAAAGCACTGTCATATCCTTTTGTATTTAGTAGGGAAAGGGAAGAAGAGTGGATAAAGGAGTGTGGGGGGTATGTAGGAACTGGTCTGGAAAGTAAAACGCCTAATTGCTTTCATCTTTCATTGGGTTGAAGTTAGCCACATGGCGATAGTGAATCGCCAGCTGTGTGTACAGGAAGAAGAGGAGATATATTAGTGAACAAGTGACAATCTTTGCCACATCCAGCACAGTGGAAAATCTGAAAGTAGAATTAAAAATCCACCCTCAAACTATCCTACAATGTTTTCAACATAGGGCTCCAAAAGCATAGTTTTGTAATTGGACAGACCTGAGTTTGAATCCTAACTGGGGCATTTTCTAACTATGTACTGTTAGGCAATTTGTTTAACCAATTCATACTTCCATTTCTTTCCTGGAAAATGAGGATATTTAGGGCTATCTTTAGGGTCACTGTGAATGTTAAATTAAAAACAAACTTTGTAATTGTTCAGTAAGTATTAGTTATTATCATTATTATTTGAATAATAACTTACTTTACTTCCTGGTAGAGTATATTGAACACATTCCTGATGGGTTTAAATCCTTACTCTACTACTTACTAGCTGTGTAATCTTTGATAATTTATTTAACCTCTAGGGGTCTGTTTTTTTATTTTTAATGTCACGAGAATAATAGTACCTATGCTAGGGTGGTTGTAATGGTTAAATAATTTACTACATGTGAAATTATAAGTGCTTTTTTTTTTTTTTTTTTTTGGTACTGGGGATCTAACTCGGGATCTTGTGCTTTCAAGGCAGGCAGCAGAACCACTGAGCTAAATCTCCAGCCCAGTGCTTAGTCTTAATAATGCTCAATCAATGGTATGTATAATTATTACTTTGATACACTGTTTCTTAGTGGTTAAGGCAGTTACTCATATTGATATTCAAAATCATCATTATAATAGTATCAATATTTTAATTCATTGAGCAAATTTTGAGCATCTGTGGGCCAAATTCTGAGCTAAGCTTTGAGGATAGAAATGGCGAATAAGGCCTGATATTGTTACTGTCTTTATGGAGCTTACGGTGTGTTTGCTAATAGGTACATTTTCTTTTTTGAGCAGTCTCTGCAGTGAGTGCTTTTAACATGCCATCTAATTTTATTGTTTGCAGTAACTGTGAATTAGATTTTATTGTCTGTATTTTACAGACGAGGCAACAGATTTAGAGAATTTAAGTGATTTGTGCAAGGTCACAGAGCTGGTAAATGGTAGACATGATATTTGAAAGTATGTCCTTCAAATTCAAATGCCAGTGCTCTTAACAATCATGCTGTGCTGTCAGATCTGGCCACATACAAAGATTTGCTTAGCAAAGTGTACACTGTTTAATGGGAACATAGGTTGGAGGTGGGGGAGGAGGATGCTGTGAGGGTGAAGGTGGCCTCTTGGCCTCTCTGGGAATTCAGTTCCATCTCTGGACCATTTATGACAGCAAATGCCCTCTCTACTTGGATAACTTCAAACATCCCCCAGGATTAGAAACATGTAATCTTATCAACCAGGTTTGGTTTCCGTCTGCAGGAGTGCTGGGCTTTTCAATTTAACCACCGGCTTAAAAAAATGGGAAAAAAATAACACAAAGAAATCTACTGTCTCTACCCTTCTTTAAAATGATGAATGCTTTTTAAAGGCAAATCCATCATTGGTCACTTGAGGGAGGAAATGTCAAGAAAAGTTATGGTTTGTTAGCTTTTACTTCTTGACATTATACAAGAAAGTAATTGAAGTACAACAAATGCCATGTTGTTTTACCTCATCTATTTATATAGCAATCTGACAAGATGAATATATATGTTACTGTGAATTTGGAAAAAAGTGACACAGGCTCTATGATTCGTTCTATTGTCTTATCAGTGCTGATCAAATGTTCCTTTCCTCAACAAAACACATGGCAGAGGAAATGGTACTCTTTCATGTTCATTCCTGGATATTAAATGATTGAACTCATTTTACCTCCTCAGCCCCATTAGCCTCTTACCTCAGGTTCTTAGAGTTTTAACGTGGATGTATAATAAAACATGCACAAATTCAATTCAATACAACAAATATTTATTTAGCAGTCACTGTGCATAAGATACTATGCCAAACACAGATGCCATTAATTCACAATCTGTGATAATTCAAATGCAGCCCAGACTAAATGATACCATTACACCATTTGTGAAAAAAGTCTGCTAAGCAAATCAGCAAGGTGTATCATACTATGTATTATGCTGTGCTCCTGCAAACCCAAGTGTAAATCAGATTTTAAATTCACAAAGAGAGCTTGTTGTTCAAAGAACTTTATAATAATGTTTCCAAAGAATATATAATCACTAACAAGTAAGAATTTTTAAAAGTCAAATGACCACTTTTTGAAGGATGTTATAGGACTAGTACTATGAAAAGTCCCAAGGCTTGTTTCTTTTTTTTGGTGTGTTTTTTACTATGTTTGTTCACAAAAAGCAGTTTTCTCATTTCTAAGCATGGTACTTTACAATTTTTAATGCATCAATACAACAGTGCATTGGAAAAGTACTGAGCCTTAACAAAATAGCTTTACATCTTTAAACAAATGAATGTGATTTCTTCACATACACAAGCGTAGGCTTTTTAATATTTCCTCAAGATAAATATCTCAAACTATAAGCTCACTCTATAGTGTGCCACAGTAATGGGCTTAGGAGACAGTCATACACTTAGAAAATTCTATTTTTAGTGTTATTTACACTGACATGTCCAGTATCACCGAGTCTGAAAGGTGAACAAATATTCAGAGTGTGGCTGAATCTGGGTCAACTAATAACTAGGAATGGCATAACTTTAAGTAATCACTTATGAAACACATATAACTTAGTCTTCTCTGGGAACTTCCTTAACCTCTCTCTCTCCCATGGCATGGGAAATATTAAAGATCAGCATGAAACAGACAGGAGCCCTTGCTAAGGCAGATCTTTTAAGATAACAAAAGAGAAACTTACAAGTATAAATTATTGGTAACAGAGATGCTACCAATTCAACTGGTATTGGAATCAGATTTTTAGGTTCTAAAATTTTTTTAAATATTTCTTTTTATTCTGAAACGGAAACTGAAGGACATGATTCAGAAAGAAATGACTCAATTCAGTTGTTACTTTACATTTAAGCTAAGCACCACTCAAAAAGTGGACATAAAGCAAGTGATTCCTGTTTGCCCATCACTACACCAGCTACATAGCTGAGAGTTCAGATGTTAATTACACAGCACCTTCTCTGTTACCAGAAGGTAAGACTGCTCTGTGACAAATGGGACAGGTAGAATTCTCAGATAACCAGCGATCGATGCAGTGGGCATGGTACTCATGAGAACAAGGTAGTTTACGAAGTTTGTTGCCTTCTGTATATTCTGTAATGCAAACACTACAGGTTTTTAATGCATCGTTTTCACCAAAACTTCTCATTGGCAAGTTGTCAATCTGTTCTTTGGTGAGTCCTCTGGGTTGGTCATCGTCATCCTCATTTAAGGGGAAAAACTGAGCCAGACTAAGAAAGGGTAAAGAGCCACTTTCATCAAATGTGACTGGGGCCCTTTGTCGACCCTCTTGCCTGGCACCTGAAGAGCTTCCTTCATTACTGCCTTCAAATAACTCTGAGCTAGTTTCTGAATTTTCGCCACTGGAGCTGGAACTAGGACTGGAACCTGAACTGGAACTGGAACTTGAACTGGAACCAGAACGGCTACCACCACCAGAACTCCTTCTTCCATTCCATGACTCTACCCTTTCCGTATTTCCACTTGGGACCGAGCCACTAGGTTCTGAATCACTATCACTGTACATAAAGTAGCTTCACTCACCAAAACCTGTCATTATCTGCCGTAACATGGTCTGAATTGCAACAGATGTAGTCTCACTTAAACCAGTATTTAAAATTCTATGAATGGGAATCCTGATGGTCCTGACGTAGGTTCTCACACCTGCCCGCTCAGAACGTGAAAATGTACGCCTAAAACCTCCTCGTTCACTTTCATAAGTAACAGTGCTATTTGGTGTCTGAGACCTCGACAGACTTCTACTAGCTATGCTATCTCTCTGTCTATATTCTCCAGGACGAACTCTTCTGACTTGAAGATCAAGGACTATGGTTGGAGGTCTCTGTCCTGATCCTGTAGATTCACCACTGATGGCTGTGTCTGAAGAACCTGCTCCTTGAGAGGTATTTCTTGTTCCAGAAGCTGCAAAAAGACCTCTACTTAACAGCTCAGGCCCAGTTATTTGTTGTCTCAATGTCACATGGTGCCGGGTTCTAGAACTTCCCTCGGTCTCATTTACTAAAGGGTGCTCAAAAGTTTGAGATGAAATACTATGATGAGATCTTTGTGGAATTTCACTCATTGGATACAGAGGTGACCTACTTCTTTCAGCTCTGGCTCTGGTTCTCCGATGGTCTGGGCTCCTACTTCTTGCCCTCCTCTGACCTCTAGCAGGTGGGATTTCTGTTGTTAATGTTTCAGTTGAATTTCGTTCTGATCTAGATGGTCTTGCAGATGTTGCTTCAAATCGTGGATTTTCCACTGGCCTTTGGCTATTGTTTTCTGTAATTTCTCCACCAGAACGTCTTGAAGATGGCTCATTTTCATTCTCTGGGTTTTGGCTCCCATTATTACGGTTAACATTTATCTCTAAACTGAATCTGAAATCACCACTGTTTGGATTAGTCTGGCTCACAGCTCTCCAAGATTGGTTTCCTCTTTGCCCACTTCTTGTTGTATTTCCAGTTTGTCTGACAGAATTAAGCCAGTCTATTATAGAGCCACCATTAGACTCATCCTCTGAAGAATCACCACCTCTATTTTCATCTGAGTTTTGTGGTGGTAGACCCTCTTTAATTTGTTGTAGTCTTCTCAGCAACTCTTCCTCTGTACTTTCTCCTGGGGTGCCTAGCAAATTGTTATCTCTCATAAGCCTATAATCTTCTTCACTCAAGTTATTTACAAATTGATAGAAAGCTTCTTCTCGATCCAATCGGTCCATCTGACTTCTGCGCTGTGCTGCAGATTGATCACCACTTCCTTTATCATTAGAATCTAGAGTTTTCCATCTTGATGAACAAGTGGAAAATTATCTGACTGTTATAACATAATACTGAAATACAATAAACTGGATTTTAGTTTTCTTCACTCTGCTTCAGTTTTAAGGTCAGGATCGGACTCGGTTAGTTCAGCCGTTTCCGCTGAGGCTCTTCCGTGCCTCGGCTGCCACCGCTTTCAAGCTCTCTCGGATGAGTGGCTGAGACCCGCCTCTACCCCAGCGTCTGCTTCCAGACGTTGCTCAGGCAGCCATTATCTTCCCCATTGTTACCAAGCAGCGACAGGAAACGACCCCCAAGGCTTGTTTCTATGACACCCATGATCTCTTTGTGGTTGGATAGTCCGGTTGTCAAGTGACTTAAATAGAAGAGACGTGTGAAATTATTATTTTTTTTCTTTTGAAAGGTGTCAGCTACAAAACAAAGGTATAGAGCTGCTTACTGCATACTGAGATCTCTCCAGTTCTCAACATAGAGTGCGGGGAAAGGAAAGAGATACAAAGCCATGTTTAATAGGAGGTGACGAGGTGAGCTTTCAGTGTGCCTTAACCTTTTTATTTTGGTGACATTACTTTGGAGAATTAGCTCGTATCTCAAGTCACTTTATCCAGGGATATAATATTAAGAATCATGAGACAAGGTCTCCTGTGGAATATAGTAATATAATGTTCCTGGGCATTTTTTTACTCTGTTTTTAAATAGTTCATTTGTTGAAATCACTTTCTTTGCGTATTTTCCTTTGTACATATAAATGGAATCTGACTCCAAAGAGTTTAAATTATATGACCATCATTTATATGTCAGTACTGTATAGTAAAGAATTTGGCTTTGACTAAAAAGAGGTCTGCCTTTGCCTTCAGCTTCTGAAAGGTAATCTATGTTTTGGCTGTTAGAAGTATCTTTGTTTAGAGTAGGTGCTGGTCACACCAGATCTTAGGGTGGGGCCAGCCATATCCAACAGACTTACAGTGGGTCATCTCAGAAAAGTCAGCCATATGATTTTATTACTTGTTTGTTTTTTTGGTACTGGGAATCGAACTCAGGACTTTGCGCTTTGGAGGCAGGCGTGGTGTCACTGAGCAAAATCCCTGGCCCTAACTATGTGATTTTATTGTGGGAGTTTGGATCACATGGCCTCAGTTGACATGGAGACAGAATTTAAAAATTTGGGCAATCAATCAATCAGTCAGGCTTATGTAATAATGGCCCAGTGAAAACTCTGATGTTTGATGCTTGGATGAAATTGGAGGTGCTTTTCACATTTTCACACATATCAATACCAAGGAGAAAAAAAAAATACCAGGAGGGTAACACATCCTGACTCTATGGGATAGGACAGTGGATGCTTTGGGTTTGTAACCCTTTCAGACTCTATCCTATGTGTCTCCTCTTTGGCTGATTGTAATCTGTATTTTTTCCCCTGTAATAAACATAGCCATATGACAGCTTTCAGTGAGTTTTGTACATCCTTCTAGTGAGTTATCACAACAGGGTAGTTTTGGGAATTGCCTCAAGTTTGTAGGTGGTGTCAGAAGTGAAGGGAGTCTTGAGGACTGTTTCCTCTAATCATTGCAGTTTGTCTGTGTGGGCTGAAAGGGGCTTATTGATAACATGCAGATATGTCCTGTTATACATGGCAATGATATCCCACCTCCAGAGTCTAAAACAAGAAATTTCCCTGGGAGATACTTGTAAAATAGCCTAATTTAATAGGATTAGATAAACAACATTAGATAGACCACTTTTTATGTGTATATGGTGGGGATTGAACTGAGGGCCTTTACACTGAGCTACATCTCCAGTCCATATATGTTAATTACTATCAATATTTTAATATTAATATCTAATATATTTAATATATAATTTATTTATTTACTCTGAGGCAGGATCTCACTAAGTTGCTAAGTTGCACATGTTGGGCTTCAAATTGTTTGTTTTTTGGTACCGGGGATCGAACTCAGGACCTCATGCTTGCCAGGCAGGTGCTGTGGTGCTGAGCTAAATCCCCGGATCAGGGCTTGAAATTGTGTTCCTTCTACCTCAGCATCCCAGAGGGCTGGGATTGCAAGTGTAGAACTCTTTTTGTATAACTGTATGAAATCAGAAAACTTTTAATGATTTTGAATGTCTTCAGGGGTTACAAACTTAAATATCTTAAGGATCTAGACAGGCAAGTTAAATAAGTGAAATATGAGGTGGGATCTTTAAGGAATATATGCCTGTAATGAAAGGCATTCAGAATTAATAAAAGAGTAGGACCAAAGAAATGTGTCTGTAACAGGACTTGGTCCACAGGCTACTAGTTTGCCTCTTCTCTGTAATTTAAACTAAAGGCTCCATATGAAAATGACCATTTTCTGTAAATGAATGTTATGAGACTATTAAGACTTTCTATTTCAGTTTCTCCTTATGTCAGTTTTTATTGGAATTTGTCCATTTTAAGAAATTCATTCCAAATTTACTAGCATAAAATTGTTCATAATGTCTTCTTATAAACTTTTCAATGTTTATAGGATCTGTAATAATGCCTCACTTAAAATTTCTGACATTGATTATGTGTGCCTTCCATGTGCTTTTTTGAACTTCTGTGTCTCATTATGAGTTTATTATTTGGCCTTAAATTAGAATGATTGATCTTTATATATTTAATGTAATTATTGATATGCTTGAGTTTAAAAAAGTTACTATATGATTTCTACATGTTCCATGTTCTTTATTTCACATGTTCCATATTTATTTTTATCTGCTTTCATTGATTCCTTTGGATTTATGAAGTGGTTTATTAGTTTTGGTCCTCCTATTAGTTTGCAAATTATACGTTATTATGTCATATATTACAGTACTATTGTCTATTTTTAATTTATTAAAATTTAATATTAATTATTACTGTCTTTATGATAACAGGAAGATATTAAAACTTTACCCCTTTCTGATTAATGGATAATTGTTTTGTAAGTATATACATATATAAGTATATGTACATTTATATGAGGGGATTTTGATATGACAGAGATGATACTACAAACCAGTGCAAAAGATGAATCAGTTGGGCTGGGGATGTAGCTCAATGGTGCTGTGCTTGCCTGGCAATGCAAGGTCCTGAGTTTAGTCTCCAGTATTGAAAAAATAAAAAGATGAATTAGTCAATAGATGGCTTGGGAAAATTGGCTGACCTCTGTATGTGGAGAAAAATAAGATTAGATTCCTAACACATCATAAATAAGACAACTCTAGATACATTAAAGATTATATTTGAAAGGTGAAATAGTGAAATATACAGATAATAGAAAGTCTATGAGAATATCTTTGTAAATTTAGAGTAAGGAATTGGAAACCAAAATTAAAGATTTACATTCAGTAAAAGAGATAACATACATAGCCAACTAGTGGATACTGGTTGGAGATAATATTTGTTTTGCAATGTCAGCATCTGGAATATACAAGGAGCTCTTTTTAATAAACAAGAAAATGATGGGGGACATGAAAGAAAAATAGACAAACATTATGAACAGGTAATTTCCAAAGTGGGGAAATGCTAATGATTAACAAATACATGAAGGAATGCTGAACTCACTTGTAATTAGAGAAGTGGAGATTAAGACAAGGAGATACCTCTTTACATCCATAAGAATTGTAAACATTAAAATGTTGGGGAATACAATTGTTAACAAGAATATGGAGAACTAGCACTACTTTGATAGTTTAAAATTATTCAGATGTTTTTGTGCAAAAGCAGTAGTATTCAGTAAAATTAGGTGTCATACAATCTAGCAATCTTGTTCTTGAGCAAAAACTTTAGAGATACTGTTGTATAAGTTTACAAGGGAACATGCATTAGGTGCTCATCACAACATTAAAGGCAGGAGAGAGTTAGAAGCAACCTAAATGTCCGTCAATAGGGAACTGAATTAATAAAAAATGGTATATGCACACTGTAGTCTATCATGCTGTAGTTAGAAGCAATGGAAGTACATAACTCATAAGAACACTCTGAATGACAAAACAAGAAACAGGGTGGGATCCATAGCACAATTTCATGTGTGTAAATAAAAAATACATAAAACAATGCTATTTTAATTTTCAAGCATAGTTACCAAAAACATTAGTGTGAATGCCTTCATGGGGGAGGGGGAAAGGAGTGAGGGAGTGAATCATGATCAAAGGGGAAATATACTGGAATAAAATAAAACAAAACAAGGGTTTGCATGGATATTTGAGGATAGAATGACATCAATGAACATGATTAATCGAGGAAGGAGTTGTACTGAATTGGACTTATTTTAGAATACCTAGGCAGTGTACTTAATAATACTTAAATAATCTTACGTATGATTTAAATTCTTAAAATGGAAGTTTTATATCAGGATTATAAATGAAAAACAAGTGCATTTTCCTATAAATATAAATACATATAAAAATATAAAATAAATATAAATGTAATTACATTACTTGTAAATATATTACTTGTCAATATAAAAGTAATTACACAGAAACAAAATAATACTATGAAATTTCAGCTGGATATGCTGACCTGGATAGCCTGAGTCTGAACTTAACTCTTTTTTGGGGAAAAGATACATTGGCAAGTCTAGAGATATGTTAACACTAGCTTAAGATGTTCCTCTTCTTTATAATCACAAGAGGGAAAGAAAAGTGAGGAGGGAAAGTAACTTTTAATTATTGTATTTCAGAAGTGTTTAAAACCATCTATAAGTCTGTCCAATGCCTTAAATTCCAGTGTTTTTGTCCCACCCACACTTTGGGAAACACAGGAGTTGATGGTCGCCTAGGTCTTTTCCAGCTTTAATTTTCTGAAGTTGTGAGAATGTAAGAAGGCAAGATTTTCTTGCAAATAAGAAAAAAATACCTGGTAGTGAAAACACCAGATAGCAGAATGGATTTACAAGAGAGGAAACAGGGCTAGTTTGCTAAAATGCTAAGTGGTGCTGCTGCTACTGCTACAAGAGACAAACCTCAGAAGACTGAACCACAT